TCCATCTGTTAAGAATATCTCTGTGAATATTTCATAGGTCTGTTTTTGAATTTGCCTTAAATTTTGCCTTTCAGTTTTTCAGTGCAGTCTTCCACCAGTCAGTTCTAGTAACTCATCACACTGTGATCTACATAACCTCTGCTGATAATTGACTAGAGTCAGTATGCTCACTGTTCAAATATTTAACATTCATCAACATTATTGTACTTGGTGTCTGAGTAACCTTTTTCAAAGTTGACTCTATCACTGTCTATTTCTATTACATTTTTCATAATATTAAGTCTGTTTGTTTTTTTTTGTTTGTTTTGTTTTTTTCAGGTACTGCTTTTGTGCATTCAGCCTGTAATTCTCAAAACTTTGTGCTTGTTTTCTCATTTAGCTAATGAGTAGTTCTCAACAGAGTAAAATAAAACCTTGCTTTCAAATGAAGGTTATTTGTAATACAAAAGGATGTATTTCGATTGCAGGCTATAGAGTAATTTAAGAATACACAAGATAGTTTTAAGTAATGATAAGGGAGCTAAAATCAGTTCATCAGCAATATAGCCCTTTACTTGAGTTAATTTAACCAGCAAAGCAGAGAAAACTTCAGCTCATTGACTAGGAGGTCTTTCCACCTCATGGTGTGGAACAGCAATGAAAAATCATGAATCCATGACACCTGAGACACTGCAATACTTGGCACGTTTCAGATGTGTGACAGACTTTGCACAGAGGTGTCAGAACTGGAGCGGAATAAAAATTATGGCTTCTTAAGGATTCTCAAACATGATTTGTTATATCCACTGCTTGAAGTTAAGAGTAGAACTATGATTTTAAATTTAGGTTTACTCAGAGCAATTTAAATAGGATTCATATCTTGTTCCTAAATAAAAAGCCCGTAAGCTTTTCATTTGAGAATGAACCCCTTAGAAATATCAATGGAAAAAATGCAAAGAAGGGGATGATTTAAAAAAGATGAAGGCATTCTTTTATTGCTGCATTTTTCACATATTTTGTTACCTTAATAAAAGAGAATGATAAAAGTTTTCAGCATTGATTTCTACTGAGAAAAGGTATTGTTCCACTAGACCAAATGTAATATTTGATGACTGCTATTATACCTAACAAACAATGTAAACAAGGTACCACTTCTTTTTATATTTTGTTTTCTCATATTTTACTTATGTTACTTACAGGATAAGCCATTGGGACTCTTTGTAACCTGATGTCTTCTGAACATGAAATACTGGATTACCGCACAATGCAACATAATGGAAACTACACACTTGATGAGATTTGAGTCATTAATTACAAAGCAGCACTAATGACATAGTAGATGGTTACTTCATTAGGAACAAACGTCAACTGAATTTCATTCTAGTGTCCAAGGTTTTTGTCTGAGCTCTAATTTGACCTCAAAAAGCATGGTGAAAAATTATTCCCGTAATTTCACTTTGTAAATAAGAGTGAAAAACATTGTTCAGTTTGATTGTGGGCTAGACATAAGCAGCTGGATTCTATGAACAAAAATGTAGTTTCTAATGCATTTAACCAGTGTACAAAAAGAATATATTAAAACATACAGGCCAGTAAAATTGTTTCAACTTTATAATTGTAGAAGAAAGATGTCTGTGTAGTTATTTTCCTTTGGAAGTTCTGTATTGATTACTACCATAACACTGTTGCATATTTTTGATCAGAATTACCTCACTATTGTATATCTTCTAAATTATAACATTCTGTAGAAAAGCCATTCTCCCACAAACAGAAATTGTAAAAAACAAACAACAACAACAAAAAGAACACTTAAAACCAACAAAATAATCCCATACAAACAACAAACAAATTAATAAAATCTGTCATTAACTTGATTACTTTTTTTTCATCAAGGTTCCATAATTGGAGGCAGCAATTTTATCAGCTCAGGCACCAAACTTTAACAGACTCATTTCTTGGTTACAAAACCCAGAAGCAATATAAAAATGGGAGATATTCAGGGACTTTTCTGAATTTTCAAATGCACTGTTCTGACAGTCAAAATGAAGAAAGTAATAAATCTGCATTTTTTTTAGTGATAATACAGTTGACCTATTACTGCTGATTACTCAAGAATCTGCTTGTTGACACATTTCATTGCAAGAGTTCCTTTTCATTTTTCTTTTGGAAGAACAATAAATGAGCTAATTTTTTTTCCTTTATCTTATTTCTACTGTAGAAAATTATTGGCCAATATGTGCATGTCTGATAAGAGCAGCAGAAGAAACACAAGACCAGGATGAAGAGTACACAAGAAAGAAGAGATGGGAAGATATGTATAGGTAATATAATCGAGGTTAATACTAGCAAAAATCAAGATATTTAATTGGTATATGTATATAATAAGCACAACACTTTGTGGCCAAAAATGTTTAGATAAACTCTAGTAGGCACAAATTCTTGTTTTAGTAGCTTACAGGTTACATTTGCAATTGCTGCCCCTCCTCAGAGGAAGGCCAGGCACCATGCTGGGCAGGAGGAACTGACAGATGGCTCTAAGAGGGCAGTTTCAAGACAGTTTAGATTAGAGGATTAAGGCTGGAGCAACCTGCTGGAGGAGGGAAGAATTTGGAAGGGCACCAAGAAGTGCACTAATGTGAATACCAGCTGCAGCTACAGCAGTTTTTTAAATAGTTGCTTTAATTACAAATCATTTTGGAATACAAATTTGGTGTCCTTTCTAATTACTCAGCATGAGGTACAAGAAACATGGTGGCAAAGGTCAATCTAAAAAGACTCTGGGCATGAAAAATACTGTGGTTAGCATGAAAACAAACCAGAATGAAAATGAGAAGCAGACAGCACAGAGCTTTATTCTAGATCAAAACTCCCCTACAGGCATGGAAGCAAACACCACATTTGTACTGAGAGCTGCCTATAGGACATAGAGATGAAAGGCTAAGCTTTTTTTTTTTTTACTATCTTACTGGGAAAAAAATAACAAGTGATGCCACCTCCAGGAGTAATGCCTGAAGCACTGAAGGGGTGTTCCTGTGTGGCTGATGAATACTAAAGCCTATAAAACACAGACTGTACAGAAATAAAATTCATAAGAGATCCATTACAAAATACACTCGAATGGGCTATGGGAATCTAGAAGGCAAAAAATGCTAGAGAGACCTAAAAAGCTGAACTGCGCACTGTATAACAGAGCATATAAATTTGGAGACCATTCCTTTGGTCTCCAAAGTGCTTGTTAAACTGAACTTGCTGTATCACAGCACTGTTTCCACTCTGGGAAGGGAAGGCATCAATACAACCTGAATGCTTAGAATAAAAGAGTGACACTTGCAGTGTTGCTGCAGACGATCTGAACATTGCTCAGATGCTGCAGCAGACAGCACGTGACACAAGTGATGAATTTGCAGCTATGCTTTTACATCAAGAGCCAATTGAACCTTACTGTATGTTGCCACATACTGTCATGACAAATAACTGCAATATTGACAAGTGCGCTTAAACTATTCCGTCTGTGAAACCCAGTATCCTGGGTTGTCTCATTCCCTGCAAGTGATATTTCACTTCTCAATTGCTCAGTAGATGTCTGCAGAGTCCAAAAGTGAAAAACTATGTTTACATCATTCCAATGCTGTCAGATTCATGACAGAAATGTTCTTTCCTTTTTTGTTACATAGCAAATCATATACAATGAAAAGAATATTAATAAAACTATAGTAAAATATTTCAAAGAATGCCATGATTAAGGTTGCTTGTGATGCACATTTTAAAAGGTTCAGAAGTTTTCAAGTGAATTTGATGTGGGTTTTTTGTTGTTGCTGTTTTTTAAGTTTTATTAAGAAAACAAAAAAACGTTAATTACTTCTTGTGCCAGGAAAGATTCCTTGTAAGGAATTGTTCTTTCTAGTGGTAAAATTTGACTTAACTTTTCCTTCAGTATGAACAACAGATTCAGAGAATGGCTTGAGTTGGAAGGGGCCTTAAAGACCACTTCCAACTCTGCTGTGGGCAGGGTGCCACCCACTAGACAAGGTTGCCCACACAAGAGCTAAAAGGTAGTGAAGGACCACCCAAGTCAAAGAACACAAAATTAGCTCACCAGCTTATAAAACTGGATGAGGATATGCTCTGAAAGATAGCTGCGTGTCCTTTGGGATCAGTGACGCATCCTGAACTCATCTGAGAACGATAAAAGCAGAAACAATTGAAAGGGCAAGGAGAAATCTTATACTTGGACCCATTCTAAATTCATGTAGCATTCTGGAGCAAGAGGCTTCATAACGTGGCTTACAAGTAGGGACAAACAGACAGAGATAGCCACAGCAGTTCTCAGTGCGTTCATAATAAGCTCACACAGGAGATGTGCTCAAGCTAACAGGAGCTGGTGACTGTTGTCTTTGAAAGGCAAAAAATTCATTGGCTGTAGGCACAAAATTTAATCTAATCACAGGTGATTATGTTTATCACGAGGAAACCAGTCATGATTTCAAACAGCAAACATAACATTACTGAAATTCCAACACCAATATATTAAAATATGCTGCTGTCTGAAAAGTCATTACTGACGACAAATACATGGAGCAGGAAATAGCTTCCACGGTCCAGGACAGATTCTGTATCTTGTAATGGAAGGCATCGGGTAACTGAGCAAAGACGCTGAAAAGGTGAGTTAGTGGAAATCAAAAGATCATACCAAACGGTTTGGTAGATTGTGTTACAAGCCTGATGATTCACTGGCTCTGATGGATGAGCCATGTGTGCTAAAGGCAAGGCTATAGCAAGACATCTTGACATAAGATCTGCTCTCATTCCTCTGCTCCTTTCCTCCAGCCCCCCTGAAGCTGCTCCGCTCTGCATCCTGCCCTCACCGTGCCTCCACAACACCCAGCGACTCGAGCTCATTTCTGGTACGTAAAAAGCGCACGTAAGCCCGCACTTTAAGTATGCAATCGCTCTGCACAGCTCGGAGCCGGGGGTCGCTCTCGGTCTCCCCGCGGAGCAGCAGCCGCGCCTCTCCGGCCGGGGCGGCACCGCGGAGCATGCGCAGAGGCCGCTTCACCCCTTCCGGCAGCGCAGCGGAGCGGGGCAACATGGCCGCCGCCGCGCCCGACGCCCGCTGGGCCAGAGCCGCCGCCGTAGCGGCGTTGCTCCTGGGGTGCTGCGGCGCGGTGCTCGCCAGCGGCATCCAGGTACGAGGGCTGGAAGGAGAGCGGTGGTGGGGACAGAGGGCGAGCGGCGCCGCAGACTCCGTTCTGCTACCTGGGCGCTGCTTTCTTCCTTCATCCTGCCGCGAGCCCGGACTGCCCCTGGTGGGGTGGAGCCCCGCCTCGCTCCGCCCCAGCGCGGCTGCGGTGCCGTGGCCTCGGGGGTGGGGTGTGGTGCAGGAGCGAGAGCACGTGCGGCTTGCTTAGGGAGCGAGAAGAGTTGTTAAAAAACCCTCCTTTCTTTTAATACGTTCGCTGCCTCCTGAAATGCAGTTTTTCTGTGGTCATGCAGTATAACTTTCAGTTGCGCAGGCTCTCTTTGCCTTTCTGGACATTTGCAAAGCCGTGTGTGAATAAAGAGTTCCCTCGGCCTTCATGCTGTAGTTCTGCCTGCTGTGAGCGAGTCTGCGGGCCACATCGCCTGCTGCGTTGATTTCTTATATCAGTAATGTGCTTTTTGCACGGTGCACTCATTGCTCCTGGAGCCCCGGTCCCGCTCGGTGTCCTGATGCTTGCAGTCTGCAAAGCCTGCGGGGAGCCGAGATTGATTGAGGTAGTGGACTGCTGTTGTCCTGGCTCCTTGTTTCTAAACATGGGGCATAAAGTATAGGTTGACTTCTCTGCTAGAAACAAGACTAAAGACTTTTTCTGAAGAAACAAAAGGAACAATAAAATAGAACTTCACCCAAGCTCCTTATCTCACTAAGAAAGAAATTGTAAGTCAGTAAATTAGTGTATTTTGTTCTTGGAGCATACTGTGGTATAGACATGGGTAGGCTTTCCTTGTTAACTAAGCTGAAAGTGACTAATGGATCTTCTTGTTGTTTAGCAAGTTTCACGGAAACTTTAGTTACGGTTATCGTGGGTAGAATGTGTGATGTGGGATAAGAAAAATCTCTGGCTTTGAAGCTTTGGTAAATTTTATTTTAGGTATGCTAAGTCCAGGAAATCAAATATGCTTTGTTTTGTGGAAACAAAAATAGAAATGATCGTTTGTTTCTTTCTGCTGAAAAACATGCAATATTGTCTCCATCTCTCAGGATCAAGCAGAACAGTTCTTCAAAAGCGGCCATACAAATAACTGGGCAGTTTTGGTAAGTGTAGTTCTGGCAAATTCTACAAAAAAAGGTTTTCAGTTTTTCATAATGTACTGTATTTGCAACAGTTGTGCAGTAATTCTGTTCATTTGAAAGAAAAGGAATGGAAGGATAAAGACTTGGAAATAAATAAATTTGCAGTGATCCCTGAAAATCTATTAACTGTAATAAAATTATCTGTTCCGTGTAATTACACATCAAGCACTCAGAACATAGAGTTACATGGCAGATTTCATTAAAGTTCAACAGCATTAAAACAGTTAAATTATCACAATGCATATTGAATTAGCATGTAGTTACGATATCAGAGAGGTATGTCTCTTTGACCAGGAAGGTATAATTTGTTTTTGATTTGTGTATCCTTAGTCAATCTGTTAACTTGTGATAACGGGCTTAGAATGAAATAAATTGAGGAGAGATAATGTTTAAATCAACAGTTGTTAATTTTTTTTCTTTGCCATGAATCTTTTATTAACTTTGAATCATACTGCAGAATTGGTTCTTAATCACAGCTCAGGTCTTAATGACTAATTTGTTTCAGAACACTATCATGATTACTCGATAGCAGATGTTTGTTTTACAGATACTAAAATTTAGCAACATAAAATGAAAGTAAATAGTAATGAATTGAATTAGAAGGAATAATTTCTATAAAGTACAAACTAGAAGCTATTAAAACATCAAGTATTTCTTTTAATGCTATTAACAAATAAACATTTTTGTTAGAGTGCTTAAAAAAAAAGATGAAGTGGAATGTTCTGTCTCAATAACTATACTTTCTATTCTCAACAGATTCTCTGCAAATTATGCTTTTTTAAACAGTTCATGATTTGTCTTTGTAACAATTATTACAGATTTTTTAAGCGATAAAATAGGGAGGATTTGGCTGCCATCAATGGCTTCAAGCCTGGGCATGTTTTCTACTGTGTTGTGAGAGGTAATGGAGGGGATGATAAAAGTCACAGCTGTATTTGCTGGGGTCAGTTTTTGGAGCTGTGAGTCTTGCTGAAAGGCAAATGTACACGTGGGAGTTTTTGAAATTTGTAGCTGAATGGACTTGAAAATCTTTCCAGACTGAATTTGGATTTTAAGTTTCTTTAAGTATAGAAAAAAAGAGGTTAGAGGCACAAATTTGCTTAAAGATATTTCTATTTAATTTGGAATTGAGGAATTTAAACTGTCTGAAATGCTATGGTCATTCCTTCTTTTCTATTTTTCTGCTTTTAAAATCAGATCTTTTATAAAGCTTTTTTCTTCATCTGTCTGAAAGATTGGTAAAGCAAAAGGAATTTTTCTGCAAAAGAAAGTTGCTGTTGATGTACAACAAATGAAAAGTAGTGAACTTGATGTAAACACAAGGACAGTGATAAGGCCAGCAAGGAACTGCAGTTACCTCTGAAAATTTTGGAATCTCATTGGTTTGGAGCTTTTGAGGGCAGATTAAATAATATCTCACCTAGGGAATTGATCTCTTCCAACCTTAATGATGCTGTGAATGACTCATCCCCAACCCTTCACCTTGTTAATCTAACTGAACTCCTTTGAAATTTTTTGAGACTTTGTGTTCAGATTTTGGTTAGAGTTTATGTAGCTCTTTATTATGTTTGACTCCTTAAATGCAAAGTACTCTCATTGTATTTTCCCCAGTGTGGTTTCTGCATGAATTCACTTATGCATTTATGCAGTCGTGCTCCCAGAAGGGGTTTGCTATAGAGATGAAAACTCTTCCTTAGATTTTTCTTTTATTAGCTATGGAGACAGTAAGAGGAAATAGAATAGCTTATCTGCTCACTGTTCTTGCTGGTTTATTCCCTAAAATGGCTTTTTCTATACTTAGTTGGGTTTTATGTCAATTTTGTCATGAGCAAACACATAAAACGCTTTTTTTTTTTAAACATTTATTTTCCACATTTATTTCTTTGGTACAGCAAAGGTTTACATGTATATAGCTTACATCATGACTTTCTTGATGTTGCTGTTTTCTTTCTGATTTGTTACTTTGTTCAATACCTGTTATCAGTGTCTTCGGATGCATAAGCCAGGCCTCTTTGTATATTTTACACTACTTAATGTGGTGCTGTTTTTCCTCTTTCCTTAAAAATTCAAGGTATGTACGTCTCGATTCTGGTTTAATTACCGTCACGTGGCAAACACTCTTTCAGTATACAGAAGTGTCAAGAGATTGGGCATTCCTGACAGGTGAGGGGATCTTGGTGAATGCAGTTCCTTTCAAATGTGCTACTAAAGTCTTTCTGCTGTCTGAAGCAGTATGAAAATACATTTTTCTTCCCAGTTTAAGCTAACTTAGAAATAAACATTTATCACGGTTCTTAGGTGTGCTCTTCTGTGTTGGGGTTTGCTTGATTGTTTTGAAAGGATTTTTTCCTTGTTTTAAATGGAACTGTCTGGTGGTTTAAATTACTTGTCATCTAACAGAAGAATTCATTGGGAAAATGGTTTGTGCGTCTATGAATATAGGTTGCTCTGATTTGCTGATGCATGGGCACAATGATTCAGTTTGTAAGAGGAAAGTTCTGCTAGGATAAAACTAAACCTAAATGAGTTAAGGAATAGTTTTTGATTGCTGGAATCATTATGTGGTTTAAGTTTTACAGTATGGGAATAGCAGTAACATATATGATTGGATTACTTTAGTTTAACAGTTAAGCACCAAATTAACACCAAAATTGTTTGGCTGGATGTATGGACAGTGTGTTTTTTAAGAGTGCATATGGTGCATGTTTGTGCTCAACTGTCTGCATTTTATTCCAAATGAAGTAATTTACTTTGATTATTTTTGAGGATCTGTGCTTCAGTTATTTTGGGTAGCATTTATCTTTCTAGCGTGTGGAGCGTATCAGCACTTAATGAACAACAGAATTACTCTTAAAATACTCATGTAGACAAACAGGCGGTGACATAGTAAACAAACAGTGACCTCTTGGTGTTTCATGTATTGACCAAATCCTGACCGTGCCACATGCAGATGTCTGGCTGCATGCAGGTTGGTACAGTGTTCTAATAGTCCTTCAGGTGATAAGTTTTTTGTTTTTTTTTTAAATGTTACTGTGAATAAGACAAAATCTGTCAGCTGTCAACTCATATGTGTTCCGTAGAAGAATTTCCGGTTAGTGCTACTAACCATGCAGCACTGTATCAGGTGTAGTATAATAGTTTGAAGAATGTTTGCAAGCTCCTCAGATTTAATGAACAAAATGATTTTCATTATGTTTTTAATTGCTCTACTTGAAAGGGCACAGACAGGCTGGGATTTCTTCTGTGGAACTGCATGAAGTGATTTAGCCCTGTTCTGTCACCTAGGTCTATGCGAGTCTGTACCATAGAGTTGCTAGTGTTAACTGCATATTCAGCTTTGGCCTGAGTGAAACCTGTTGCTAGATAGCAGCTAGCTGCATTTCCCTCTGTGATAACTCTATCAGTGAGCGTGTTCAGAAGGAAATACCATGTAACTAAGCAAATCTTCACTTACAATGACAGGCATCTTCTTGATGTCGTAAGCTACTCTTTTAATCATGGGATAATTTTCTTGTAATTTCCTTTAGATTTATGTCTTCCTTGTATTTCACAGTCACATTGTCCTGATGCTGGCAGATGATATGGCATGTAATCCCAGGAATCCTAAACCAGCTACTGTGTTTAGTCATAAAAACATGGAGCTAAATGTCTATGGAGATGATGTAGAAGTGGATTACAGAAGCTATGAGGTAGCCATGCTTTAAATTATTGGATCTATGTTTTTATATCTTGCAAATGCTCAACACCTATGTGAAACTTTCAGTGTGCAAATGAAATGTGCTGTAGCTATTTATATTTCTGATCTTAAGCTTACGCTTTTATTAAAAAAAATACCAAATGCCATAACCTACTTTTTTTTGTAAAATAGTCACTATATAGAAATCTGTGTTCTACTGTCTTTTTATTTTTGTGTCATATTCTTTCAAATAGTTTACCAGGAGATCTTAAAGCAGACAAATAAATGATTTAATAGTGCTGAATAATTGCTGATGAAAGTTTCTAGGAGCATCTAAAGGCATACATAAGATGTGAAGCTTTGTATAAAGAGATGAAGATACTGTACCAAAATGGAAATGTGCTGGTTTTTTCTTATGTTCTTTCCTGAGTATGGATTTTTGCTAGCATTTGCTGCATGCGTCTGCATGGACAGCAAATGGAGTTTTATAGGAGGTTTTACAATCACCATCTTGATGATATCTGATCGTACAAAGACTTATGTAACTGAAATTGATCTTGTTTTTCCTCTCCTGAGTTGCAGAAGTAATTTAAACTTTTATTTTTCCATGGCAACACACAGAAATGTTGGAGCATTTTGTGAGCACGTGAGCAGCTTTGACAGAACAAAGGTATACACTGACAGGTTTTCAAATCAATGGAAAACATATTTAGAAATTAAAATGATAGCAGTCTTATTGGGTATAGTAGAACACCAGGCTGATATTAGTGAGATATAGTAAGAGATGCTGTGTAATTGTGAGCCTTACTGCAGTAAAAGTCTTGAACAAGAAGATGTCTGTTGATGCAGTTTATACCATACAGTATTGCATCTTACTGGGTACGCTGCATGTTGTATTGTTCCATTATATTTTTTTTAATGTAATCCAACCTAGAATTGTTGACCCATATTTTTATCTCTAAAAAATTACTTTATGCTTCTATTCTTAGGTTACTGTGGAAAATTTCTTGCGTGTGTTAACAGGAAGAATCCCACCAAGCACTCCCCGATCTAAACGTCTTCTTTCTGATGACAGAAGCAATATTCTAATATATATGACAGGTAATTAGAGTTTTGTGTATACACTTCTACTGACATTTATTGTTCAGTTGGATGGATCTGTATGAAAGCATGAATTCTCATGAGGAGCCCAAACAAAAAAAAAAAGGATTGACAAATGATTTTTTTCCTTAACATGTCATGCTAACAAAGAAAACCTTTAAGACTGTACTTATTAAATGTAGTTTCCAGTCTAAATTATATTTTTACTGTCCTTGTGCTGAAGTTTTATTGGAGCAAAGCAATTGTTTGTTTATTTTTTAAGAAAGGTGATCACCCAGACTAAATATCTTTCCTTAACGTACATACTTGCCTAATTGTATATTTTCTATTAGGCCATGGTGGGAATGGTTTCCTAAAATTTCAAGATTCTGAAGAAATCACAAATGTAGAACTTGCTGATGCCTTTGAACAAATGTGGCAGAAAAGAAGGTAATAAGAATGTATTATGTAGAGGTTAAGTACTGTATTTCATTAACATGCCTGAAATCTTACTGGTAGGCCTTACTAAACTTTCAACAGTGATGCTGTTTGCCATCCATAGAATTAGGTGAAAATTTACATTCAGAAAGAAGAGTTTTAAATTTCACTTTCAACTTCCTACTGTGAGAACTTCCCATATAATTGATTTGGCTGAACTTGCCATTTTAAAATCAATCAGTGCAAAGTCTTCTGTTCCTTAGGTTGGTAGTAGCTATCCTGGTGACTAGAAAGCAAAGTTCCTATATTTCAATCTGAAGAAAATTGAGTAAGAGGGCTGTTTTGTTTCTTTTAGGTACAATGAATTGTTGTTTATCATTGATACTTGTCAAGGAGCATCCATGTATGAACGATTTTATTCACCTAATATAATTGCCTTGGCTAGCAGCCAAGTAGGAGAAGATTCGTTATCAGTAAGTACATTTTTGTGGTCCTGAAGATGATTTTCAGAATATCTGAGTGAGTTAACAGTACAGCCATTGCTGCTTTTTTTTTTTAATAACTAAAATTTTCTTTCTAATTGTGTACTATATAATGTGTTTTGTTATAAAGTGCAGCTTTGACAAAAATGTAAGGTGTATCTTCCTGCTTTTGTGGGCTGTCACAAAGAAACAGGCTAATATGTTTTATTTTTTGATGTTTCCTATCACAGGAATAATAGCAAATGTCATTTCATAGTATATTTTATACATGTAAAATAACAGAAAATTATAATTGACAATGCAAAAGGTATTTTACATGTAAGGAAGATGATGACTCTCCTCTTCCTTTGTCTACATGTTGATTTTTAGCTCTGCCTATCAACACTAGCTTTTATTTGTGTCTCTTCGACTGACATTATCTTGCTCAGTTCCAGTTCAGTTCTAAAAAGTTTCCAAGGACTTGGAAAGGTTTACAGAAATTCTGAGGACCCACATGTCCAGTGAAAAGGAAGAGGCAAATCATCTTTAGCTAATTGCTGATAGTTAAAAGTGGTGATAGAATTCTGTGCTTCCTGGTTAATTTATATGTTACCTAGATTGGGCAAAAATCTTATGGAAAGACTGATGAGAGATCTGAGAGGGGAATATTCAGTCTTGTGTTTCTTACACTTGGTATATGGAAAAAAAAACAAATCAATACTTATACCCCATTGACATTACAGAAAGAATGATAGGAAAGAGATCCAAGCCAAACTGAAAATAAGTTCTCTTTCTCAGCTCTGTTTTCCAAGCCCTAGGAAGCTGGGGATGGTACATAAATTCACTGGACTTCTAAGAAGGGAATTCCCAGCTTATTGTCTAGATGTAGTCTAGAAAAATGAAAATGATCCATATATTACATAGTTCACCACCAGAATATTTCTTCATGAGTAGTAATTTGCTTTGTGTAATTTTCCTAGGAACAAATAACACATTATGCTTAACTTTTGTAAGATGCTATTATATGCTGTTCCCTTCTCTAAATTCTGAGTTCTGTTCTGCAAATGCCCTGTAACTGTTTCATATTATTTTGTAGCATCAACCTGATCTTGGGATTGGTGTTCATCTTATGGACAGATACACTTTTTACATGCTGGAATTCTTGGAAGAAGTTCATCCAGCCAGTCAGACAAATATGAATGACCTTGTAAGTAGAATCTCAATGCTCAGCAATTTATTTTTTCATGGTGTTCTCCAAATGCTTTCTGTACAACTACTGTTTGTCTTAGAAGTAGCTTTGTGGGGAGGGCCTTTCTGCCATTATTAAGCAAAACAGTAGTGTAACATTTAGAGGATTGTCCTTTGTGTGAAAGTGGCTTTCTGGCTACAGAAAAAAGTTAACCAAAACTAGCCATTAAAAAAAAATCATTGAAAAATAAATAAAATTTGTTAAATATTTAAATAAAATGATTGTGCATAAAAAAAATAGTTGGAAACTTCTGAAATATGTAAAATCAACTTAATGGATAACAGGCACTTTGTGGATATGGAAAGGCAACCATTGGTAGAATTTTGCAAAGTTGATTAAACAGTTAAAATTCTATTTGTGCACTCACAAATGCCTATAGAGGCTGATTTCTCCACTTAGCTTCCAGACCAAGAGATGTCAAAATCTGTCTGTGTTTGGAGTATATTATATCTTAGGTGAGTACTGAATGAAGCTTTCAGTTAAGAAGCAGTGAAAAAAAAACAACCAAGATAATCTAAGGTAAAATGTCTGCAAACGCCCTTGTAACAGTTAGATATATGCACTGATAAAATTGCATAATGCTAATTTTGCTATAGTTATATGTTCTGCTGTGTTGCCTTGTAGCTGTGAATCCTGATGCCATGACTGTATCAATGATCTGGGCGCACCACTGACTGTGCACACTATGTTTGATTCATTTGTGTAAATGGAGCATCTACTCCTTTGTCTACAGAGGCTTGTCCTAGGCTGGTTGTCAAATCTGTAGTAGAATTCAGTCTAAACAGCTCCCACTTAACAGATTTTATGTTGATACAGAATTGATTCAGTGACTAAGATTCATAATTCCTTTACTGGAATGAGAATGAAACTGGCTTGTAATTTAGTACCTGTCTGATCACAAAATACAAAAAACCTTAAAATCAATCTTGTTAAAGAAGAATATGCAAGTTTTTTATTGACAGCACTTCTGCTTCTACCTTGTTCATTCAAACAGCATTCTAGAATTCTGTTTTGTAAACTAGAAAATGAATTGACATTAAATAGAAAAATATACTAGATATTAGTTCAGGTATTGTCAACAGTACAGAAAATGTAGTAGGTGGTCAAGTAGCTTACATTTTGGGCTCTTTTGAGAAGATATCTAAACACTCTGCTTTGCATTTTTGTTTTATGTTGTATGCCGAGTAAGTAGGAAGACCCATGGAAACTTACACAGATAAATTACTTACATCTTGTAAGACATCACAGCACAAATCTCTTATTGCTGCTCTGGGAAGGGGAGGGAATAGAACCAATTATGTGAGACGGCTTGAAAAAGTACTGAATCATGATATACATATATTTCAGCAATTGTGTTATAGGATTCATATAGGTATATTTGGCACTGGAATACAATGTTAGTATTGTTCTGGGTTAAGAAAAAAGAGCTAATGCTTATGCAAGCCTGATTTTTAAAACTGACACTTGGGAAGTCTGGGCAATATGTTAAGTGGCTCACTAACGAGTTCACTCATAGCCGAAATGTAGTTGTTGACCAGCCTTCTGTGTCTGATGTCTACTCTTTCAGAAGAAAGTATTTATTACATGGTGTCCATCATATCACCTATGTAATTTTCTCCAGCCACTCTTTAAAAAGCTTCACTTCACATCCGCCTAAGGTTTGGATATCACATTCCTGTAAAGAATGAGGCATCTTTCCTCCACCTACTTCCCACCTGCTCCATCTGTGTTGCTAAGGGGATAGCAAAAAGCTGTGCAAATGACTGAATTTCAGTTTGACTGCAATTCCAAAAAAGTAAAAAGTAATGTGCCACACATTCATACTTTCAAAATCAGATTCACGTATGTTCTATATGAGACCTGATTTGTCATAAAATAACTTCAAAATATGGCAAGAAAATTTCAAGATAACAGAGTTTCCATTTGTGGAAATCAGATGGTTTTATTTAATTAGTATCTTAATTAAAAAGTTTGGAAACAGCAGCGCATCAAGAAACGTGTTTCATTTAGCCAGTTTCTTGCTTTTTGTTTTTTTTTCTCCTTTAAAGACCTTAGTTATCAAAGTGCTAGTCTGTAATTGCTTTGCAGTCCTTTTTTCACATAGGTAATGGGTAGTTGGATTGTTAATACTGGAATCCTCTTTTTCTCAGTGCCATTACACATTTTTGTTCCAAAATTGTCTCAAAATTGTCCTATGGTAGTAAACTGTTGTGGGACAGGTTGCAAACACTTGAATTGTAGTATCTGTTTCACACTTTCAGAGCTGATGGAGTTGTTTTGCAATATGTACATGTATTCTAAGAGCTTAGAAGAGAGACCTTCATATTACACTTAGTGTGACCAATTATATCATCTCAGCACAAAGCAGCTTTGAGTAAAAAATGAACCCAAAATAGGGACAGTAATGGCAGAGTTACTGAGTCAGAGTCACTAAGCTCTGCTGACTGTGCTTTGCTAATTAATCTGTACAGCTTTTCTTCTGCTTACTGAGTGATATTTTTGCAATGATATGTGATCTATTTTTTTCCATCTTGTATTATAAAATGTTATTTTTCTTTTCCTATCAAAAACTGTATCTAAATACATTTTTCTAATTGTAGACAGGTATTTTTCCCTTTTTTCAGGGATGCTCGGTATTAAATAATGCTGGAGCCATTAGTTCTGTCCTCTGTGTTAATGTTAATATATTTAATATGCATTATAATTAATTTCACTTAGCAAGAGTTTAAAAAGAAAATGTATGTAAGTTGAATAAATTAGAACCCCAGGATATCTGCTTTCAGTTCTTTCTCTATTAACAAATACTGTATTTCAACAAGGAGTGTTGGTTATCTTCTGAATGTTCATATGTGATCTGGAACTCTACCACCCAGGAAGACAAATTTGGTGTTTAGCTGTATTTGGGTTTTGACTGCCACAGAGAACAGAAGCACATTGCAGGGTGCTGGTGTGCTTTGGAATTCATGCTTTCTAATAGGTTTTTAAGGAGTAGTCAATCATGTATAGAAAATCTATGAGGGACACCATATGTTTTATGTAATGATATTTTAAGCTTTTTTCCATTCTGGAAAATAGCATGGAAGGTAACAGCTTTTCTGCATCAAAATGACAGCTCTGATTTATTTGAGTGACTTTTTTTTACAAAATTGTTGTAGTTTAGGTGAGAGAACTGCCATCTGTGTCTGTTTCTTACTGTCCAAAAGAAGTTTACATTTGAAATACATCAAGGTAGATTATGAGACGCAATGATAAATACACTAGCTTTGATCTGAAATGTGCTTGCTTTTCAAGTAGGTTGAATACTTTACTTTCAAATTATAAACTTACAGATCATTGTTTTACTGCACTGATTTATACCTTTAATAATATTTTTTTTTCCTTCGGTTTTTTGTTTGTTTTAAAATGCCATGAGCTTTTTATCATCCTGTAGTGCTTTCTTGAGAGTTGTAAAAGGCAGGTGGAAGAAATGCAAGCAGTTCCAGGTGCAGGAACAATTGCTGAGACTGGTGCTGTCCTCCTTCAAGAGTTAAGGGATGGTAACTGTGTGAGAAATAAGTGGCTGAAAAGCACTAAACTTCCAACAAGCTATTTAGTGTGTCCATGGAGTTAAACTTAAATAAATGATTAAATCATCTGATATAATATCCTGCATGCTCTTGGCATGCTCTTGTTAACAGCCTATTGTAATTCTACTTAGAAATGTGGTGTTTTGTTCTTCTTTTTTTTTTTTGGCCCAGAAATGCATTCAGTTTGTTTGTGAAAGCGTAGAATTAATCCACTGAAAGTTTATTTTAATGGTCAGACAGCTTTACAGGTAAACCTGTGCTTGTAATTTTTTTGCAGAGATGGGCATGTGATGAGATTCACTTTGCCCATGAGGACGGGGCTGTTATGCAGTGTCATGCAGTCTGTACGTGTGATATTCTCCCAGCTGAGTCCAGTAACTGAAGGCTCTGAGGAACACTGATTAGATCCCTTCTCTGTACATGTTTACTGCAATGATTTTGCAGATCTCACTCTTAAACTGCATTTGTTGAGAGCAAGAAAGATGTTTCTGAAGTCTGTGTTTTAGGAAGGAAATGGAAGTATTTGCTGTGACCAGCAAGGCAAAAGTTCAGTGGGCCCTCAGATAAAAAGAGCACTGGGCTTATGTTCCTTTAGGAGCTAACATAAAGCAGAATTGCGAAGCAGCTCTTTCTTTGATGTCTTTGAAGCTATTTGCAGTGGTTGCCTATGATCAATAAACTTTTGACTTGCTGTTGGGAGTCTGTTTGGGGCTGATAGAAGGCAGCTGCATTGAAAGGTCATTCATAATTTGTTGAGTCATTCGTTCTCATCATATATTCTTATACTGGTGTTAACAGTACAAGAATGTAAAAGCAATGTAGTTCTTAAAGTGTTTTGTAGCCTTTCTAGCTATTACCCTGACCTAAAAATATAGCTGCAGCAAAGATTAATGTATCTAATAGAGGGATCAAAATAAATATTTAACTTATGTAGCTTACTTTGGAGACAGGTTTTATGTTTGTGCCCTTACTTCAAGTTGGAGAAAATGTATTGTCTTTTGATGAAACCAAGAAATGAATGTTTATGTGCGCTGGCAAGTGTCTTCTATATGTACGGGAAGCATGATGCTGGTCAGTCCGGTTCATTTCCACTTCACATGGAGGATAGCAAAGATCTTGTTCAGGAGATGTTGATACTCTGCAAACAAGATAAGTGGGAATTACTGAAAAACAGTTCAGCGGATCTGTGTGCGTGTATCCATCGTTTAGGGTAAAGGTTAATGTGAGCTGAAGCCTCCCTGGATTTACAAGCTTAGACTGTAAGACCAGGTATAAAAGAGAAGTTGTAGTAGGTGCAGAAGGGAGGAACAGTGAGACAGAATCTGTAGTGGGACCAAGTACATTGCTTTCCCTCTGAGAAACTTTTTAAGAAAAGGGTTCTGCTGTCCTAAAAAAAAAAAACTACCATACAAACTTGTCTATTTTGTGCTGGGCTGTGCAAAGAATTTCTGCTAGGAGGTATGGAACTGAAACTCGCAGGTTTTATCTGTCAGCATCTGTTGTAATTGAGGCTGCATCTGCGCTGAGCTAACTAGGACCTGTGATTCTGCCCTGAGAATGCAACCAGCTGACTCATGACAGAATCAGGTGTATAAGATTTATATCATGTAACCAGTGGACCTGTTTATGAAAATCACTTGGAAGATGTCATTTCAGGAAGGTAAGTGTACTTGGTAATCCCGTGCATGAATGTGCTAAGTATTCTTTGTTGCTAGAACACACAAGGTTGCATAACAAACTGTTACCACACAGCCTGCAGGCTGTTGGAGAGGCAGTTGAGTGTGCAGCAACGTTTGGTCAAGAAGCTGCTCAAGGTGCTGTCGACCTTTCATCTGTGTCTTAGAGGGTTGCTTGTCTCTGCCTGTGTTTGGCGGGGTTGTGTGTTTAGTTACAAAATGCCTTCTGTGGACTGAGACACAAACTCAGCTTTCCCAGCTCAGAGGCCAGGAAGTGGGGCCCTGATTGACTTTCACAGCTATGCAATTTGAAGTCGTGTAATGTTACTAATTAAACTACAAGCTATGTAATCTAGGAGGTACCCTGGAATAAGGAATCTGTCTGGATGGAAAATGCTAAAGACTTGTGTGGGCAGTGTAGTAGGACCTGTGCAGAAACCCCCGATCCAAAATTTTCCATCCAAAATCCACTGGTTTTGCCTTGAGTAACTTCTGGATTTGTAACAGTTCTACTGCTTAATAAGCATGCTACTTAGTCAGATATTTTAAGTATTACAACTAATGTGTTGTCGTTGTATCTACTTTATTCAGTATAAAGATACATTTGCAGAAAATGAGTCCATCTAAACTAGTTTAATTTGTTAGTGTTGGTTTTGCTTTCCCACTGTTGGAATTTGTGCTGGAGGTAGTGGAACGGATAGGTACATAAAATTAATAGAAAAGTAGATAGCTAATTTGTAGGTGTTACAGGCATGTCTGTGTGAATTTAATGTGCATAGTACACCTTTGATATTTTAAGGTCCTCATTGAGTATTAATTCATAGGCTGTAAACCAGAAATAAGGATAAGGATTTTTTTTTTTCTGATTAAAATTTAAATTCTTGATTCAATTTTAAAACCTTCACAGCTAGCTACTTGTCATGGCTTGTGAAACTTGCCTGCCTCCCTTTGGTAAGCATGAAGAATTTATACCACCTTTTGCTTTTTGGAAGATACAGCAGTGTTGGTGCTTCTGTATTCAGAAATGCATTTTCACATTTAATCGGTCAGTTGCAGTTGGCTTTCACAAAAACATTTCTTTGCTCATACTGATAGCTGAGGATTAAGGTTTTCTGTTTATGCTTTTTAATAATTTTTATTATTTTTTATTTGTAATTTTTAATAATGCTTTTTATTTCAGTCCCTTTTCTTTGGCTGTGGAGCTCGTATGAAAATTAAGGGTACTACCAAAATTTATGTATGGTATTTGTCTTAATTTTATGATCATTTCACTTTGAAAAGTACTCGTAGAAATTGTTGATCAATGTGGGACATGATATGACTTTCCATATTTGTTTCCAGTTTCAGGTCTGTCCAAAAAGTTTGTGTGTTTCAACTCCTGGGCATCGAACTGATCTCTTCCAGCGAGACCCTCAAAATGTTCTGATAACAGACTTCTTTGGCAGCGTAAGAAAAGTGGAAATTACTACAGAGACAATTGCTTTGGACCGTAATTTAGCTGGCTTTGAAAGCGAGTGAGTAGTCATTATCTATTATATTTAGTATATTATTTAGCTTTGTTCAGCAGAAACAAAACTGCCTTATAACTGTCAACGGAAGAAGAACTTTGTTTTCTGTGAAAGGACCAAGGAGTCAGTATGGACTGTTAATATTGATAAAATGGAGATTTGTCAGTGGAGAGCATTCTGTTTAAAAAAAATTCCCACTCCTTCCTTCCATCTTCCAAGTAAATACTTCTAAAGACCAAGGTGTGGCTATCATCGTCAACAGCAAAGAAGGTAGTCTAAAATTTTCTTTCTTCTTTGATAGTTTAATGTGCAGAGACATTTTAATTTTTATTTTTATAGTAGTTTACTCCTTCCAATAAGCTCTGAGTTCAAAGCATGGGTTGTTTCATTAATGTTTTCTTAATAAATGCTCTGTTTCTATTCTGCAAATTCTCTGCCTTTTGGCTTTAACTTTCCAGAGAATTTCAGTTGCAGAGATGTAATGATTTACCTGAATAACACTGCTGGTGCAAATTTGCTGGTAAAGTTAGTAGGGATTCTATTTCTTTGTGGATGAAGAAGGAGTTACAAACTCCTTTGTATTTTTGGTATTCTGTTGCCACCTATTGGAAACATGTAAAGGAAGATGTGCTTGTACAGCAGTTTATTTGGCGTTGTACTGCCATTTCTGATGCATTTTTTAGCTTTCACCATACTTTCCTCTAGGAGAGAAGAAAGAAAAAATTGTCAACTCTAACCAAGATTGTAAGATTTTTTTCAAACTCATAAATTTATGTGAATTAATATTAACTGTCACTCAGATAAATTGTTAGTGGATATCAAGTTCATTAATTTTAAAGATAATGCTAGCTCTGGCCCTTGTAATTAATACTATCCTACACTGAGTCCAGTGTATTTTATAATTTAGTTTCATATTGTGCTTTTAACTATATTGTGCATGGTAGTACTAACCATATACAAATTAAATAATTCTTTGCTTAATTCAGAACAATTTAATGAAGCTAGATTTTCTTTTGCCTCTGAAATAAAAAACAGTTTTTGCTAGGACACCATGTGGGATTCTAGTTTGTGGAAAATTTAAAGGAGAATCAGGTTTTAGACTTCTTAATTTCAGAGCTGCAAATTATATACCCTCTTTTTCAATTAAATGTAATAGTGAGATACATTTCTTGTTATGAAATCTTCTGGTTAAGGCTCTAATTAAATGTTATTTTGCTTTTAGAATACTAACAGTAAGTGAACTTTTTGTAAGCTTACTTTGTTACCTATGAGAATGCTGGATTATGAATTGTACAGGATGCTTTCTTGGACCACCTCAATACCTCATTTGCTGTTTTTTCCTATGCAGCTTTCAGAATGAGCTAGGATGTTTTGCTGTTAGGATGAAAGATCGTTGTTGTTTTTTTTTTTTCCTTCAATGTATAGTGAAGATACTATTTTCATTTTATTTTATATTGATGCCAAATTTTAAAATAATTTTTTAATGAATTTTCACCTTAATCCACAAAAACCAGAATTTAATAATCTTTCCAAACCAGTCATAAATAATCTTGTTTGTGCTTAATAGTGTTTCTAAAAGCCTTTGTGAAAGCAGAAAAGTCGCTTGCACAAAGAATGGAACTTGCACTCCTTTGGAATTTGCCTTAAAATAAACACACGTATTTGCCAGGAGGTGTCTGATACAGGAATCAGAAATCTATTCCCCCTAATACAAATGTTGATGTGTTACGCAGGTCACTGTAAATCTGTGCTCGCTGCTCTTTTTCTGAGAAAATCTGTGCAGAATTTTGAATCTTTTCCTTGTTCTGAATTGTATTTGCGTCATTTTTGTTTAAAAGATATTTTGCAGTGTTATTTTATTTTTAACATTTAATATGTTCTCTTTTGTTCCTTCTTTTTTGAATCATTTTCAAGCTTTTTCCTTCTGTTCTTACATATTGGTGGCAGTAGAGTGCTACAAAATATTTGTGTTAGGGAGAAAAACGGGAACGAAGTAGGGACCCCAGCTTTGATCTGGTCATTAGTGAGTGTTAGATTGGAATTGTTTTTGTTATGAAGTTGCAAGGATCAACGTGTGCAGCTAAGCATGTTGCTTGAAACACAACAACCAAACAAAACCACTGACTGCACAGATAAGGGGCAGAGAAGATGCTGCTGTGTGACATGACCGTGCCTTGGAATTGTGCTGTTTTCAGACAGGGCGAGGTTTCAGCTAACTCACTGTGCTGTGACTTTGCCAAATCTTTCCATAGATCTCATTTCTTCTGTTGCATGGTTCTTTAGCAATTTCTTTGCAGTGTGGCTCAGTGCAAGCTCAGCACAAGCAGTTCCTGCATTGCGAGGTCAGTGTCTGATGGTGGTACCAGCTCTGGTAGTCCCAGTGCAGCCTTAGGAGTTTCCTTTGCTAGAGCTGAGCTCATATAAAGAAATGACAACTAGATAACCAAAAGACGAAGCATTCTTTCTATCTGTTTAGTAATTGGTGACTATTTCAGACTAAAAGCTTTAAAATTGAGGTGGAAAAAAGGAATCCCCTGCCCTTTCTTCATAGTAGTTTCATCTAAGCTATGTTCACTTCAGAGGGTTTCTTCCTGACTGGGCCTGTAGCTGCAACCTTCAAAACCTGGATGACATTTGTGGACCCTGGGGCACTGGCTGTTATGTGTGTGTCTAAATCACTGTAAGAGCATAACGTGAACATGAAGAACGAGGTGGTGAGTCTTGGAGACAGGTCTGTGTGGAGCTGAGCACTGCTGATCAGTGTGGGGTGTCTCAGCCTCGGATTGTGGCTGTACAGCATGTTAGATCACCTCCTGCTGCTCCTATCATAAGGAAAAGTTGTGTAACAGAGAAAACACTGGGAAAAATGAGGGGTTAATGTTTTCCTAAAGGTAGTAGAAGGTGAATTAAAGATAGCATCATATAAAACCATCCTAGTTTCATTGCTTTTGAGGTTTGGGCTTCAGATGTATTAATTGTGCTGGGCTGAATTGTGCATTACTTTCAGGGGCTGTTGTCCTAAAACTAAAGAGTTTTAACCAAACCACTTGGCTTAGGAAGGGTGCTTGTGTGGTAGAGAATAATTGTGAGTGATTGGTTTATTTGCAATACACTACTACCAAAGCTATCTCCCATCCATTTTTTGATAGTAACTCTTTATTTCTATTTCCTGTTCTTCTTTTCTACTGGCTATTTTCAGTTTTATGCACTTGATGGGTGCAGCTGCTGTTGTGTATTCCTGAATACAAAGGGATCCAGTTTGTGAACAAATACGTAATTTGTTTTGGCCGGTGGATGCTGCTCAGCGCAGTGAACTTCTCCTAAAATAGCAGAGGCTGTGTTTGTTCAGAGATTGCTGTTAATTTTTGACCAGGTGCCTCAGTTTGTTTGGAGATAACCATTAACTTCTGATTAGGCGCTCGCAGAGGCAGGTGGGCGCCGGGAGGTGGCAGCAGCGCGAAGGCAGCCGGGCCGTGCTGGGATGGCAGCGGCTTTGGGTTGGGTACCTTATCCCCTTTATTTGATCAGCTTTAGAGTGAAATTAAATGAGGAGAGGAAGAAGGAGTTGAATTATTATTATTATTATTATTATTATTATTATTATTTATTCAGTGTAAATTCTGGAGAGGCTCTGTTTTTATTTTACACTTGCTGGACGTCAGCACACATGAAGCATGCTCATCAGTTATGCATGTAGTATACTTTCCCTTAATGCCTTACCATTACAACAAAATGAATTCGTAATTGTGGATGTTCTTAATCCGTAAGTGGTTTAATAGCCTACAACTAATTTAGAGAGTTTGAAGAAGTAATAGGCAGTTAAATATTACTGCTGTATTTCTTAAAGTATTTTGTAAATACATTTATTTTTTCTCTGCTTGCCTGGGAGAAGATAAATATATGTGCACATATGTGCGTGTACACACACTACTGTGTTTGCAAATGTAAAAGTTAAATTCAAGGTAAGACAATTGCAATGGCAATAGTAGAAGTTCTATGGAAAGGTTGCTCTGAAAATAACGCTTCCTATTTTATTATTTTGGCCTGTAACATCAGGGGTGAGTGTTGATGGCACGGAAGTAGAGGTTGAACCTTCCCACCACTATCCCATTACATTTTATTGCTGTGCAACAGATGGCAGCAGAGGGGAAGTCTGACAGAATGGTGACCTGCATTGTGTATTATATGGTAGGATACATTTTCACTAGTGTAACACGACTATAAAATAAAAAAGGATGACTGTCAATATCAAAAGGAACTGCTAGCTATAAATTGTGTTGGGAAAACCTTAAAAACACAAAAATATTATGCTTGGTTATTGTGCTCCCTGTTTAGCAGTAAAAAGCAGAGTTGAAGTTGAGTAATAGATTTTTTTTATTATTTTTTTACTAATTTAAAATATTTTTAAAATGATAATTTTTACTAGAGATTTTTGCTGTTCATAAGAAAATATGTTTTCTTGCACAACTGTAGTTTGACTCAGATTTGTTTTAATCTTGGATGTATTTCCCCTTCTTCTACCTTTAGTGGAGTTTATAGGGCATCCTGTATTTGTTCTGTGACAAAGCTTTAATTGTTACTACTAGGCTGTGCTGTGATCATTTTGTGCATTTCCAGTTGAATGCTACTCTGCTGAACCTATGTGCATAGAGTTTAAATAGGCATTGACACAAAAAAAAGAAAACTGTTGATCTGCAGAGTTGCTGTGTACTGTGAATGCCCCACAAAGGTCACTTTAGATAAGGACTAAAGTACATAATAGTTAATGGCAATCTTTCTATTAACTTCAAACTTGTTCTTTGTAAGTGACTTTCATCTGCAAATTGACTTATGTATTATAATAGTTTCAGGTACTAGACAGGTAATGACTAAATTAGTTGGATGTCAGATTTCAAAGGAGTCCTTCAGTAAATTTAGCAGATTTTAACAATCTAAACAGCTGAGAATATCTAGGAATCTCAGGATCTTCAGTCTGGATTATTTTCCATTGTTTATCTATTCCTTTT